ATTCAATGAATACTTAGTTAGCTGGATTGTCAAGAATGATCAATCATTTAATGAGGTAGAGTCCAGCCACTTTCGTAAACTACTCACTCTACTGAAACCAAATTTGTCAATCATGAGTGCGCGCCAATTAAAACGCCAGATAATGGACACTTACAACACCAAAAAACAATTGCTAAAGACCCTTTTTTTGAATCTTGACTCAAAGGTTTCATTCACCACTGACTGTTGGACATCACCCAACAACATTGCTTTTATGGGCATAACGGCTCATTACATTGACAAAGACTGGAACCTACATGCCAAAACTCTTGATTTCAAATCCTTGCCTGATTCCCATTCAGGTTCAAATTTATCTAATGCATTCTTGTCAGTTTTGATTGAATTCGGTCTTACAAGCAAAGGAATGGGCATTACCTTAGATAATGCTTTCAATAATAATTCATTTATGGATTTTTTAAATTCCAAGTACGAAATTAAAACCACCTTTGAGCATATCCGGTGTTTTGCTCATGTGCTGAATTTGGGCGCGCAAGCAGGTTTGGATGTTTTGAAAGATGATCTTGTAAAACTTAGAACAGGAATTAAAAAAATACGATCCAGTCCTCAATCATATTCTAGGTTTAAAGGTTTCCAGCAATCAAATTGCACCTTAAAACCAATACTTGATGTCCCTACAAGATGGAACTCAACAGCTGATATGCTTAAACGAGCAATGAAATTAAAAGTTGGTTTCATTGCGTATTTTTGCGATTTTGACTCAACTGCAAACAATCCAGACTGTTGTCTATCAATTTCACCAGATGTTTGGAACAGGTTTGAAACAATTGTTTTGTATCTTGAACCATTCCAGGAATTTACCCAGCTCATTAGTGGTGATTCATATTCCACATTGTCTTTGGTGGTTCCTCTCTTCAATATTCTTTTGGATCACATTACTGAATGGATGACCACAAAAACCAACCCTGAAGATAATCTACACCGCTCTACAGTTGCAGCGTTCGCAAAAATTTCAAGATATTATAATTTGACTAGTGACTGCTTTACTATCTGCACTGTCCTGGACCCAAGATTTGGTATTGAATATTACAAAAATGATAAGGGCGCAAACAGCGAGTCGTATACAAAGATTATGGACACAGTCAATTGTGAATATCAAATCAATTATGCCCCAAGCAATATTACAACTGCTACAAGCATTCAAAACGTTTCAAAATATACCCCGTTCAAATCGCGTGTTTCATCAAACCCATGTAATGAGTTTGAAAACTATTGTAATGATAAAAGTAAGCTAGATGGCGGCAATAATAGCAACATATTACTTTGGTGGAAATCTCGATCTGACAAATATCCAAACCTATCCAGAATGGCCAGAGATTACCTGGCCATTCCTGCTACATCTGTATCATCAGAAAGGCTCTTCTCATTAGGAAAAAATCTTATTACTGACAAAAGAAATCTTCTCTCTGCAGATACCATTCAAGCTTGCCAGTGCTTGAAGTCTTGGTTGGATTAAAAAGAATAAAAGAAGCTGTAATGTGTGAGAAATAGTAACAAATGCTGCAATATGAATAAAATTTATAGATTCAGATAACTAAAATTAATAAATGAAATAAGTTAAATAACGTTCAAATATACATCAAATCTTGGAAAGATTTGAATTTGATCTAAATTCAAAATAGGAAGATTTGAATTTGGCCATTTCAAACATTTGACGCATATTTGATCAAACTATTTGAATTTGTGCCGAACACTATTTGTGGTAGCCCAAGTTTTAGTTAAGCAAATAATATTAAAAAAGTATTTAGTTTCCTCAAGTAAATTTTGGAACATTTCAAAATTACAATTAATACTTCTGATATTTACGTGAAGAATTCTAATTTGAACGTTGCTTTCTTAAGTAACATTCTTAAATAGAATTCCTTTCAATTCATTTGGATAATAGAAAGAACATTCGATTCTTGTATCGCGAAAGTAATTAATATCTGGGTCGGAGTTTTTGTGTAAAGAAAAAAATTTCGTTTCAAAAAAATTAAAGGCAAGAGTTTCAAAGTCACTTATCAAAGCCATGATTAGCAACGAACACATTTACTTCCGAAATTCTTTAGAAAAAATTTTATCATGCTTTATAACTGCATACTTACCTTCAAGTCGCAGTTTTTTGACCTCTTCCCACAACTTTTTTCGGCTTTCGATTGTTTCTTTTGCGAAATCCTCATTGACATATATTCCGGTTCCTCGCAAATTTTTTGTAGCCTGATTATTTTTGTTTTGTCTTGTCTTGAAAATTTAATAATTTAAGGACAATAGTTCTTGGTTTCTTGTCTTCTTTAGGGTGGCCTACTCTATGAGCTCTTTCTATGATAATATCATAGTTAATTTTAAGTTGTTTTTTAAACATTTCCTTAACTACATTTTCGCACTCGACCCAATTTTCATTTGGTTTTTCATACATTCCGTCTATTATTGAATTATTCCTTCGAGACCGGTTCTCTAAATCTAGTGTCTTTATATTTTAGTAGTTTATTTCTTTTTCATAATATTTCGTGATCTGATTTAATTTTTCCGTGGTGCTTCTTTCTTGAAAGTTAAGTTAGTTTCGTTAAAATCGCGTAAGTCGTTTTCTATGCTCAAGGCTTTTGATTTGTTAATGTCTACTTCTTTTTCAATTTTATCTAATCGATTAGTGAGTATTTTTAAATTTGCACTAATTATACCAGTAAAATTTTTTTCTTGATCTTTTAACAGGCGCTCCGTTAAAATACTCTTTTTTTGTTCTTCGAGTTTGTAATTAATTTCTCGATATTTTTCAATGTAATTTCCATTATTTCTTCTTCTACTTTATCACGATTAAGTTATTTTTCAGAAAATTCACCAGAAAACAGCAACAATCAGAAAACATCAACTTTCAACAACTGAATATATTGAACAACTTTACAACCAGAAAAAAAAAAAAAAACATCAACCAGAAAACAATAACTCTCAAACAACTTTCAACAACTGAATATATTGATTATGTTCTTTATTCGTTTTTCTTCGGTGGTTGCTTTGATAACTACGGATTAAAGAAAAGTAAACTGATGCTCAGTTAAGCCGCCATCTTTGCTCGCCTTTGAAGCGTTGTTTCAACGTTGTTCAACTATGTCACAACGTTAAATCTAAAACATAAATCACAACGTTAAATCTAAAACATAAATCACAATAGCCTGATATTTTCTTTGTTTTTTCGTTATATTTAGATCTGAATAGAATCGATCGCAATAATCAAACGTAAAATAATCCTATACCATATATATAAATAATGCTATACCATATATACAAGGCCGGCGCGATAGGGGGGTGTAACAACCCCCATCAATGATTTTTTCGTTCAGCATATTTGACTAGTTAGTCGCGATTTTTAGACCCTTTAGACAAGATAGTCGGTAAATTTAGACAGTCAGTCGGCAAATGTCGTTATGGCAGTCGGAGGGCAGTCAATAAATTATAAAAATTGAGGACCATTTTTTTTTTTTAGTCGGCAAAAGTTCTAATAGTACCCCCCCCCCCCCCCACACACACACACGTTAAACTTACTCGCGCCGGCTTTTTTTACATAATTTATTATTTTTTTATATATCTTTTTTAACTAAAGCATCAAGCAAAACAAAACTACCACTAAAATTCATAAAATCTGACGGGGCAGCGTTATAAAAACAGCTGAAACAAATGTGTTAAGTATTTACATTACAAAAATGCCACTTTTATTTGAAAGTAAAAGGACTCCTTGTTAACAGCATTAAAATATTCAATAAATGACTAAAAACCTCTTATTTTATTTTTCCGTAAACAGTAAAAACGTTAAAATCTCTCAAAAAATTCTCATTAGTTTTCACTTAGAGCAATACACCAGTTCAAGCAAAGTTCTGCCATTATTAATACCGCGCAAAAAAAAGTCCTGGAACGAATTTAGAAGGGTAAATATTTATTTTCTTATTTGCGAATTTGTGATAAAATATATAGTGATAAGATGTAAGTTAATTGTGCTGTTATAGGATGTACCAATAGTTCCTATAAGCTAGAAAAACTGAAAAATAAAACGTGTTTTCAACACGAAGGGAAGATATTATTCGAGTGTGGATGTGAGTTACCATTCCGAATGTTTTGTTTCCCAAGTTTAAAGAGAAATAGCGAAAAAAGAAAACACTGGATTAGTCAGCTTAGACGAGAAGGAAAGAAGAAAGGAAGTGCATAGGAACCTGGAACTGCTGATAGAGTATGATCTGATCATTTTGTTGATAAAATACCAACTGTTATGAACCCTAATCCAACAATAAATATGGGTTTTGATTAACCTGTACAAAAAAAAGCTAGAAGAACATTATTAAAGCACCCAATCACTTCTTTACATTGTTCTAATAAAATGCAGCCTGTAGAACCTTTGTTGATTGAAAAAAGTATTTTCACCAAGTTTCCAAGTGTTAGTTTTAATGCAGATGTTTTGTCACCTATATTAATAATATAGGTGACAAAACATGGAAGATATACCAGTATAAAAGTTCATTTTCTTATCATTGTTAACTAATCTCCAAGAGAATTTTTGTTTAGACTTGACTGTTTATTTTATTTTTAACTTTTTTAATTGATTAGTAAGGCTATTTACTTTACTCACGTAAGAGGTGATAAGTGAAGATTTGTATTCACATGAAGTACATTTATTAGGTAGTGGTAAACTCATTGAATAGGTATGGTCTGATAATATTATTATTAGGTAGTACATTTATTAGGTAGTGGTAAACTCATTGAATAGGTATGGTCTGATAATATTATTATCAGACCATACCTATTCAATGAGTTTACCACTACCTAATAAATGTACTTCATGTGAATACAAATCTTCACTTATCACCTCTTACGTGAGTAAAGTAAATAGCCTTACTAATCAATTAAAAAAGTTAAAAATAAAATAAACAGTCAAGTCTAAACAAAAATTCTCTTGGAGATTAGTTAACAATGATAAGAAAATGAACTTTTATACTGGTATATCTTCCATAGCTATTTTTAACGTTATTTTTGGTTTATTAAAACCATTTTTACCCTCAATTCGTTATTGGAGAGGCCCAAAACATTCACATAGCAAAGTTAAGCAACTCAAATCTGTATCTAAATGTAAACTTTTATCACACAGAGAAGAACTTTTAATGACACTTATGCGGTTGCGCTTAGGTTTATTAAATGAAGATATGGCTGATCGTTTTGGTATTTCAAAATCTTTGTGTTCTAATACTTTTACAACTTTTATTAGAATTATTGCTAATATTCTTGGACAAGCTATTATTGTTTGGCTGCCAAGTGAAGTCATAAAAAAAACTTGCTACAGTCTTTTGTGAAAGCAAAGCATCATTAGTGTAGAGTGATTCTTGATTGTTTTGAAATATTTATTGAACGTCCAAAGTTCCTTTACAACCAAGCAGTGACTTGGTCTGATTATAAGCATCACATCACTGTGAAAATATTAATTGGTATAGCACCAAATGGATACATAACGTTTCTATCCAAATGTTACGGTGGCAGAGCATCAGATAAATTTATTACAAGTGACAGTGGTTTTTATGATCTGTTGGAAAGAGATGATGAGGTAATGGCAGACAGAGGATTTCAAATAAGAGAAGAACTATTATTTCGTTATTGCAGCTTATCAGTCCCACCAGGTGCAAGAGTAAAAAGTCAAATGACTGCAAGTGAATGTAAGAAGACTACTGATGTTGCTAACTTAAGAATTCACATAGAAAGGGCTATAAACAGAATAAAAACCTTTCGAATCTTAAAAAATGTATTACCTATTTCAATGCTTCATCATATGGATGATATTATTTTATCGTGTGCAGCTTTGTGCAATTTAAAGCCTGCTTTAATAAAAAAAATTGTTTAAATTTGTTTAAAATGTATATATATTTTTAAATTTAGTACTATTCTTAAATGCTTAATAAAAGGAAGGGTGTAAATTTTATTTCTGACCTTATAAATAGGGGAATCTTAATTTAAGGGTTGGCTTTTTTTTTTTTTTTTACAGAACATGCATAAATCAATTTAAGTTAGTGTAGATTGTGGTCAACTGTGCATCTTTAACAACTGTTTTATAATTACAATAGGATTTAGTTTTCTTGTATAAAGTGAGGAAAAGCTTATTTTATTAAAATCAAAACATTATTTTCAACAAAGATTAAAGAGATTTTTTTAATTTTTGGTGTTAATAAATGGGAGGGGGGGGGGGTGATCTTAATAAACATTTGTGGGTGGGAAAACTTTTGGAAAATTACTAAACTTCCTCCCCTTCTTGTATTAAACACACGATAGTACTGAGGTTGTATTTTTTTATTTAATTACTGAGGTTGTTTTTTTAATTTTAATTTTTTAATTACTTGCAAGGGATGCCGGACACCGCCGTGCACTTTTAATGAATACATGTGTTTCATTTTATTACTTCTTTTTAATATAATAAGAGGTGTGGATAAACTTTTTGATTTTGAGTAACTTTACTTAAATATTGTTACACCATTATTTAGATCTTATTGTCTTCTTTTATAGGAAAAAAAAAAATCTATAAATGCCAATTTAAATATAAGAAGGGTTTTATAATTTAAAACACAGATTTTCATTTTCATAATTTTATTCCAATCAGTTAATAGTAAAATCTACAAAGACAGTATTTAAGTAATGATCGTTGTAATACTTAAAAAAATCAACTTTCATACTCAACCAACCAGCTTCATCAAATGCAATTTTATCAATTATATAACCATGAGCTGTCCATACCATAAAATAACAATTAATCATCTTAGCAGTCCCCATTTGAACCTGACATTGAGTATAGTATCTATGCTTTTTGTTAATGACAAATTTTTCATTTAACTTTTTTGTAATATAAGGAAGAGATATATTAGGATCTTGTGGTGATGTATGGTTTATAGAAAATGGACATTTTATTTCTAAACAAGCTGGCGGGCAACACGAACATCGAACAATTCTATCAGGGTTTCCACCTATATAGGGCATTTCTACATCTAAAAATAATCCACATTCATTTACAGTTAAATTTTGATGAAAAGATTTCATAACTTCAAAAAACTGGCATGCTGCTTCAACTTCCATTGCTCTCCCGTACTTTAATGCAGGTATATCTGGGTTCACAAAAGTTAACCCTGAAATACTTTGGTGTAATGACCACATGTCAACTTTAATGTATATATATATATATATATATATATATAATATATATATATATATATATATATATATATATATATATATATATATATATATATATATATATATGAAAGTTGCAATGAGAAGTTGAAGAAACGGGAGAGCAATGGAAGTTGAAGCATATATATATATATATATATATATATATATATATATATATATATATATATATATATATATATATATATATATATATATATATATATATATATATATATATATATATATATATATATATATATATATATATATATATATGTATATATATATATATATATATATATTATATATATATATATATATATATATATATATATATATATATATATATATATATATATATATATATATATTGTTGTTTTGATTATATATATTATAATATAGTCTTTTTATAATATATATATTGTGCGGCTGTGGCGCGGTGGTTAGATTGTAGGATCTGAAGAAATCTCGTGGAGCTTAACCTCAGGAATTTTTGTTGGTATCAGTTTCTTTGATGTTTTAATTGATGCAGGTTCTGCCGAAAGGTTTGGCACAAAAAATTATCCTCATCATTTTCAATAATTGCTATTGCTGCATCATCAACTGCCCATGTAAGAGATTTTTGAATGGGCAAAACCTGATTTTCGTGTTGTGGTTGGGTGGAAAATGAACTAATTTTTGGCTAAAGTTTAATCTTTTTCTCATCCTCTTGCTTTTTCTTTCGTTTGCTAAATCCATTTCAAATTTTCCATTCAACTGTCGAGCTTATTCCACTTTCTTTTAACCTCCATACTTCTTTAGATAACTCAGTGTCGTTTTTATATTTTTCGATATTAAAAGATTTTGTATGGTTAGCGTATCAAAATTTAAATGCAGTTTCACTTACTCCAAAATACACTTTTTCATTTCCGTCCGTAGTGCCTGGATACAAGATTTTCCGCTAGTTTTCATTATAGGATGGTTATGAGAGTTTATACCAGATTATATTGCGCTTACGATTTTTTGATATATTCTGAAAAATATATATTCTGAAAATAAATTATCACGGCTATTTACAAATAGTATTGAAATACTAATCTCAAGTAAATACCTTAAAAAGCCGTGGTTTTACCTAGTAAATACCTAGCAGCCGTTGCGTAGTGGTTAGAGTTCTGGCTCAGAACCCAGAGGTCCGAGGTTCGACGCCAGCTCCAGCCCATCAAGCGACATTGCTCTACCGCGGTGCTCTGTGGTAAGACCATAAGGACTTCTGGGAGCACCTAAATAACTACAAAAAAAAAAAAAAAAAAAATGTTTACATACAATTAATCTTAGTAATAATAAAATTAGTAATAGTAATAATAATAACAATAATAATAATAATAAAGTAAATATAATAATTTAAATAGATTGGTATTACTTTCCATACAGCAATCATTTTTACATACAAACAGCAATCATTTTTACATACAAACAGTAATAAACTGACAAAACGTAACAAATAACGATGACATAAAAACAACTACTGCTAAAAAAAATTATTCAGATTTAGCAAATATATTACTATAATCACAGTTGTTAAAATATAATAATCAAAATATATTGCAAATATTATGACCAAATAAATAAATAAAATATAAACAGAAAAACGCCGAGAAAATCAAAACAAAACAAGTTACAACAAACATTACAAACAAAACAAAAAATTTTGCAAAATAAAACAACAGCCAAACAACAACAACAAAAAAACTAAAGATTAAAAAAATAATAATAATAATACACGGTTGAATAAAACATATACCGTAAACCGGGGTAACTTTGTACCAATTTTGATGAAGATAACTTTAAGAAAAAAAGGAACATTTTCCCAAAACTATTTAGATACTCAAAGTTGTGCATTACTAATGTCATTTAATTAGTAAAATGGTGTATTTATTGTATTAACCAAATCCAAGACTTTATGGAAATAATGAGGTGGTCAATGTTACCCGGCAATGGGGTAACTTTGACATAGTAAATTGTTTTTTAGCACCGGATGTAAATGAAGTGTTATTAACAAGATTTAATGTAATTTAAATTTACAGTTCGCAATTATTTCAAAAAGGGGTGCTTAAAATATATCAAAAAATTAAAAAAGGGACAATAAAAACAAATATAAACAGTATTAAAGAAACATATTAGCTAAAATAATTTGATTTTCTTTTATTATTTTTTAACCAAATGATTAAAAAAACTTACTGATTTTTTTTATTAAATGTCAGAAAAAGCAAAAAATAAGAGAGTACTAAAACAATTTGTAACATAGACATTTAAAAAAAAAACAATTAGACTCTTCAGTAGTCTATCATAAATTTAATAGAGACTGATTCACCTTTAGATGTTGTTTCTGTTTCACTATCGTATTCTACAGAAAAAGATTTTCCTGGTTCAATTTTAAGTCTTTTTTTGGATATATATTTTTTTTGTTTATTTTTATTTTGTGTAACATCTTTCTTATCATTACCTTCATTTTTTTTCTCATTTAATATGTCTAAAAGCTCTGTCTAAAGCTTTACGAGGACTCAAGACGTTTTCACTTGGTTATTTGATATACACAGCATTAGGATTAAACGGCACCAAACCACAAGCTTTAAAACCACTTATTAAATTTTTTCTCGAGCATGTATTAATGGATGTCATTAAATCATTCAGCAACTTAGAGAAATCTTCTTTTGGTAACATTGCAAATTTTTTACCACGTGAAGTAAGTTTCCAATTCAGAAGTATAGTTCTCCATGCTTTTTTTAATGGTGCAAAGAATGCAACACCGAGAGGTTGAAGCAAATGGGTTGAAGCTAGTGGGAATCTAATGTTATGTTTTTCACAAGAATGAATAACTTTATGACTTAAATGGGAAGAGAGACTGTCACCTATTAATACTTTTTTCCCAGTTTGTTTCTTAATGCATGGCAATAATGTTCTAAAAAACCAATCCTCAAAAGTAACTTCATCAAACCAGCCAGATTAGGTTTTATTAAAACGAGAATTTTTGGGACCGTGTTTTATCCATAAATCGTATAAATGTGTGCTTTAAAAACTGTGTATGGTGGAAGAATTTCTCCAACATTATTTCCACAAAACATTACAGAGAAACAAGTCTTCCTGCTATTCATTATCCTCTCAGGGTACTTAGTTCCACGTTTCATTACACCTTTTTTATTTCCAGGATCATCACGTAAATTTGTTTCATCATAATTCCAAATGTTACACGGTGGAATCCGTTCAAGCTCAAGTCTAATATTGTCAAAATAAATTTTTAATTGTTCTTTGTTTATAGCTGCTCGTTTTCTTTTAATATTTGATGTAATTCTATGGGTTAACTGTGAACGTTTCATAAAACTTGATACCCAATCATCACCAGGAAGATTGTTTTTAAATATTTTTACAGTACGTTTTTGCGATTTTAAATAACCAGCTACTAACATTTTAACATCAAGTTTATTTAATGGAAATCCCCAATCGCACATAACTTTGATTCTAGATGAAACAACTGCTCCTCATCATAAGTAAATTTGGTTGGTGCACCAATGCATTTTTTATGCTTTGACTTCATCTTATTATGTATAGTGCTTCTTGGTATACTAAACCTTTTTGAGGCTTGACGAATAGACATACCTTCATTAATTGCACCCATACACTCTTTCAAAAGAATGGTATTAGAACAAGTATTGTATGCACGTTTACCAACACTATGCTTGTTATATTTACGAGGCATTATGCTTTAAACAAAAGTAAATATAAACAACACAAGCAAACTGCAATGTAGTAATTTATTAAACTATTATATAATTTTATTAAATTGCAATACTGATTTAGCAACAACAACAACAAATAGTTTAACAAGAAAATAAACTTTTTTTAAAATCCAAAATACATTTATACAAAATCTATTTTTCAAAAAAAATTATTTGGATAACATGCTTCAAAATAATATTTTAGTTATAATAAATAACGATCAGGCTACTTTAAAATGAATATTATTTACTTGGCCAAAGTTACCCCAAAAGAGTATAAACCTACGGGGTAACTTTAACCACCCAGTAAAAAAAAACAGAATTTTATTACTTGAGCCAAAAACTTTTTGCTTAATTTTATCTGAACGTTTGTCTTTAAAAAAGAAGAAAAACTGAGTTGTTTGCTAAAATTTTTATCTTCGCCCAGACAACATTCTGTTTTACAGTTTTTGATTGTGTTTGACCAAGACATAGTTTTCATTCTTTTTTACTTATAGTAAAGAGCATTTGCAACAAACTTTAGATCAAAATTTAAGCAAGATAGATTGCATTCACAAATAAAACAAAAATAGTAAAACGTTTCATAACTGTTTAAAAGTTAGAGATGTTTAATTAAAATTTTTAAAAATGGACAAAGTTACCCCGCTGGCCAAAGTTAGGTTTACGGTATAATAAATGGCTAAAATGAAAATAAAAACAAACAATATATAACTGCATAAAAAATTTATATACCACTAAAAATAAATAACTAAAAAAAACAAATGACTAACAAAAAATAATAATTAAAACTATATACGCTAAAAAACTGAAGAAAAATAAATAAATAATAAAAATAATAATCCTAAGAAATGAAATATGAATGAAAATTAAAGAAATATATGAAAAAAATGATAATGAAAAAATATAAGAAAAAATCTTGATTTGCCGATCGAGATTCCACTGTTTAAATAGTTTTTTTTTCAATTCTTTTTTATTTATTTCACTCATTAACGTGTTTTTACTTATTTTCTTTCAGATATTTCTTTTTCTTATCTTCTTTTAAAAGATTTATTCGTTATTCTTTATTATTATTCTTTATTATTTATTCTTTAAAATGCTAGAAGGGTGATTGGATTAAACATGTTTATAACTTAGTTCATCATTTGGTTTACGAAACGGTCTGAAAGATTGATAATTGAGGTTCAGTGTCACGTCAAGAAAGTTCGTAACTTTCATGTTACATTGTATAGAGATAGAAAGATTTCTATTTTTAAAAATTTGAATAATATGCTTTTTTATTGCATCCATGAGGTAGCCACTTGCGCTTTTGAAAAACCGCTAACCCATCATCTCGGTATAAGCCAAAATCTATTTTGTTAGCTTGGTATAAGCCAAAATCTGTTACTGCTGGGATAGCTAAAAAAGAAGAAAAATTCCGACAAACTCACATACCTCTGCTCCGTCAAAAGCACTCATTGCAACATCAAACAAACTACTGCTCTTTTTAATCCAAGGTTGCTCTTTATTAAACAACAATGATTTTCAGGCTTGTTTAATTATTAGTTTATCTATGTTTTTAATGGTTGCATATTTTTTAGCAAATTTAATCAACAATGTTAAAAATCAAAAATTTATAAAAATGTTTGTTTTTAATACCTTTGAACCAATCTAAAACGTTTTGCGTGCTTTTCCATTAATTAAGACTGAGAATATTTTTCACCTCAGCAATGACGTCATATAAAATAAATTTACTGATTCTTCCGATTTTTATTTTTTGCTGGATTTAAAAGACGGACAGTAGACAGGTGGACAGTAGGTTTGTTTAAAAAATTGTCTTTATGATCTTTTAAAGTGATAAAGCGGTTGGATGGTGTGTTAATTTCGATTCTGTTAAAAACCTCATGATTGTTAAATTATTTATTTAAACTGTTAAAATAATTCTCTTAAAAATTCTTGTTAAAATAATTCTGTTGAAAACCTCATGAAAAACCTCATTTTTTAACATAATTTTCTCCTCCATATTCAACAGGTTATTTATCTATAACTCTCATTTTTCATAGGAAGTAGTATTGAGTTGGTGAGCAGTTTATTGTATTGGTCTTTAGATAATTGATATAAATTCAATGTTTTATCGGCTTGTGTAAATGTTTAGTCCGACTTACATATTCTTTTGACATCGTTAATTAGTTTGTACTGAACGTACAAACTAATTGTGCGTACAAACTAATTGTAAAAGTGCGTTTTTTGTTTTACGAAAATTTAAAGATTTAATAAGATTTAGTAAATCATTTTTAAAAGCAATCAAGTCTTTAACTTGCTGAGGGAATTTATCTATATTGATGCCGTAGTTTGAAGATATAAATCCATTATTATTGCTTTGAAGATTTCTATTGTTGAAGAAAAATGCTTTCAATCAATCAATATATATTTCTGAAATATTTGGTATTTCTGAAATATTTGGTACATTTCAAAGTTGTTTACAAATAGTTCAAACTACTAACATTACGTAAACACCTAATGATAATGATTAAAATAGTAATAATAGTAATAATAAAACAAATACACCACCTTTATTTGGAGAACACTGGTGATACTGAATTTTAAAGACTCTCTCACTTTTCTCTTAAAATAGTCTACCTCTACTTTAAAAGTGTTGTTTTTATTCCAGCCGAAGGCACCATCTCATCCTTTTTATAAGATCTTCCGTTTTTTATAATAACTTTAACTTATAGGTTTTTTCCGATGGTATTGGAATATTCTTGATAGAGTTGAACGACTTTTTTTTTTTTTTTTTTTTTTTTTTTTATTTGCATTCACTCCCAACAAGGCTGCAAGCAACCACTATTAAGTTGGGAGTTACTAGGAAAAAAAAGAAAAGAGTTATAGAGCAAGGAAACGGTTGACAGAAGACTTGAAAAGTTGAAGGTTGTATGAGTCAGGAAAACATGAAGATGGGAGAGAGTTCCAAAGGATTGAAGTGCGGGGAAAAAAACTAGATGAATAAAAGTTTTTAGAGCATGCTGGGACAGATACAGTAAACGAATGAGACTTAGCTGAATGACGAGTAAAACGAGAATGAATTTTAGTTGATGGAACTAGAGATGATAACTCCTTTGAGCAGTGACCATGATAGTATCTGTAGAAAAGAGAAAGAGATGCAACTTTACGACGATGGGAAAGAGGTTCAAGCTTAGCAGATAGTCCAGGTCCAACAACATTTACAATGCGTTTTTGGACCTTGTCAAGAAGAGAAAGTGAATCGTTAGAAGAACCAGCCCAAATATGACAACAGTATTCCATACAGGGACGAATAAGAGATTTGTAGAGGTAGAGAATGGAATCAGAAGTAAGGCAATGGCGAGCACGATAAAGAGAAGCAACCTTAGCAGAAGCTAATTTAGCAATCGATTGTATATATGGTTTCCATGAAAGGTCAGTAGTAAGCGATAATCCAAGAAGACGTAAAGAGGACGACTCAGTAAGAGGATCGCCATTCTTTAATATAGGAATGTTGACCATATTACGATAGTTGTTTGCAGTAAGCAATTGGGTTTTTTTAGAGTTGAAATTCACAAGCCACTGTGAACCCCAATCTATTACTGAAGTGAGATCAGATTCAAGATCAGCTGCTTGTTCTAGGCGATCGAAAAGTGAAGACTTTTTGTCAAGACAGGAGTATAAAGTTGAGTCATCAGCAAAAAGAGCTACTTTAGATGAAAGGTTGTCAGGAAGATCGTTTATGTAGATAAGAAACAAAACAGGGCCCAGGATGGAACCTTGGGGAACCCCAGAAGTTACTGGAAATAAAGAAGAGTGTTGGCCTTCAAGGATGACTTTAATAAACCGGTCAGAAAGAAATGATTTGATAATCTCAAAAACTTTCCCAGAAACACCATATGAAGCAAGCTTATGGAGAAGACCAGCATGCCAAACTTTGTCGAAAGCTTTTGATATGTCGAGAGCAATAGCCCTAGCCTCACCGCCTCCATCTAATGCACGATAAAATCTTTCAGTTACAGCAGTTAGCAAGTCGGCCGTAGAGCGAGAGGATCGAAAACCGTATTGATTGTCTGACAGCAGTTTATTTGACTCAAGATGAGATGTGAGGAATTTGTTGATCAAAGACTCAAAGACCTTGCTAATAACAGAAAGAAGACTAATCGGACGATAATTGGAGGGGTCAGAATTTTCTCCAGAGTTTTTGAATATTGGAACCACAGATGCCATTTTCCAACAAGCAGGAAAACAAGACTCAGTCAAACACTTGTTAAATAGTTTAGAGAGAATTGAAGAAAGTTCTGGAGAACAATTCTGCAAGACTGTGACAGGAATGTTGTCTGGACCACAAGCTGTAGACGAGTTTAATTGAGATATGACTTTAGCAACAGAAGCCAGAGTGATTTGAATGTCTAACAATGGGTTAACCTGTTTGACTGGAATGGAAGGAAGAGAATGTCCATAAGACTCAAGAGTGGAATTAGAAGAAAAGTTCTTTGCAAACAGTTCTGCCTTATCCCTGGGAGAGGTAACAAGATCAGTCCCATGAATGAGAGATGGAATGTTAGATCTACCCTTGTTAACAATGTTGTTGAAGATTTTCCAAAAGTCTTTAGAGCCTAACTTCTGCGATAAGATGCGAGATTTAGTGAACTGAGAATAATGGAGTTTAGCATCAGAAAGCACCTTTTTACATCGATTTCTTGCAATAATAAATAGCCGTTTGTTCTCAAGAGAGTTGTTCTTTTGAAAAAGACGAAAAAAATGGTTACGATTGGATATAGCAGCCGCACAAGAAGGAGAAAACCATGGAGTAGAATGAGGCTTGACTTGAAACCGACGAAAAGGAATAAAAGCTTCCATTCCAGCCTGAATCCAGGAGGTTACGTAGGAGGCGCATTTGTCAGCTGAGAGAGAAAAAACATCAGCCCAAGGACCATCACGAAGAAAATCACGAAAGGAATCCCAGTCAGCTTTAGGGTAGTAGTAGGTGGTGCGATGATAAGGTGAGCCCAAAAAAGAAGTACGAGAAGAAAGATTTACAGAGATCATTGCGTGGTCAGAACCACCTAAGGGAGAAAAGGGAGAAACTGAACATAAGCTAGGGTCAGAGACGAGACATAAGTCAAGGAGTGAAGGTAAACGATTAGGGTTGTCAGGAAAACGAGTCACAAAGTTAACTATCTGAGTAAGAGATTGAGAAACGCAGAAGTTAAAGGCTTTAGTGCCAGCAGGATCAGTGGTGTTAGAGCCAAGCCATTCAGTGTGATGGGCATTAAAATCACCAACAACAACAATATTGGCAGAGGGGTAAAGAGAGAGGGCATGGTCAATTTGATCAGAGATAACATCTAAAAGAGTCCAATCATGGGAAGAAGGAGAACAATAAAGAACGAAGAGAAAGGTGATAGAGTGAAGAGGTGCTAGGCGAAAGCACATAAAAGAATGGTCAAAGGATTCGAACCTGATTTCACGACAAATAGGGGAATTAATGCGTATGTAAACCCCTAAACCTAGCATGTGACTATTGGAGTCTTTACGAATCAAAGGATAGTACCCATCAACACTGACATCTGAAGAAGGAATTGCAGAACTTAAATTTGTTTCACTGAGTGCAAGCAAGTCTGGTGAATTTTGAAGGAGGTAAGACTCAACTGATGGAAAGTTGCTTCGTAGACCACAAATATTTGTAAAAGATATATTAAAATATTTAGGTGGTGGGGATGGTTTTTTAGGTTTTAAATTTTTGGTTACTTTGGTCATGATTTGGGTTTAATGAGAACTTGACTCATTCATAGATAGAGCACAGCCTCCTAATCAATGAGCTATGCAGTTGTCTCAGTCCTGTTAATTAACCCTAAGCCGTGACATAGGGCTCCTTATGTGGCCTTGACAATGCACACCAAAAGCATTAACAGGGACACCATCCATGCGCAACATGGCACTGTTAATACTCTGATATTTTGCAGCTGTTGATGGAATCAGCCTCTCTGAGAGCTACCACAGAGTTCGGGAAACCTTACTACCAGCCGGCTTCAGAACCATTGAACTGAGTTTTAGAGCTGTACCCTCATATGGAGATAACAGTAAGAGTTGCATAGCCATTATCAAGGAGGCATAAGCAAAATTCTATGAGTAGAGTCAAGGAGATCCAGCATTCATCATCCTAAGCAGGAAACAATGTAACACAGGTTACATCTACGCCAGCCTAATAGATGAAGAAGGGGTTCGAGGCTGGTTAGCAGAATTTTTCTGCTTACCCCTAAAGTCTTTGCCTAGAGGCCTTCTACAAGACAGTAGCAGAATGCAGTTAACATCTGCCCAAGATGAGTATTTTTATCGAGACACCATCTCTAGCCTTTACTCAACCAAGAGCCCCAAGGCAGGGGATGTTTAGCTGGATGCAGTTAACATCTGCCCAAGATGAGTGTTTTTATCGAGACACCATCTCTAGCCTTTACTCAACCAAGAGCCCCAAGGCAGGGGATGTTTAGCTAGATGCAGTTAACATCTGCCCAAATGAGTGTTTTTATCGAGACACCATCTCTAGCCTTTACTCAACCAAGGCAGGGGAATTTTTAGTCGGAGTTTATTTCTCCTAGCCTTTGCATAAGAAGAGCACACTCTGCAAGGCAGCAGGGCTTGTGGCAGGTGGTACTGGGTTACGTGATACCAGTAGCAAGATTGATCTTGATTATCCTGACCTGACCTGGAGTAGTTAAAAGGAGTTACTTCCCGCAACAGTACTTTGAGAAAACCAGGCATGACATTTCGGAAGTGCATTAGGAAAAACACTGCATCTAACAAAATACAGGAGTCTAAGGTGAGTGTACGTTTTGTAGTTGGAGTAAGTAGTTAGTTACTGAGCTCACGCTGCATTAGAGTATAAACAGAACACAAACAAACATAGACATAAATCAACTTACGGGTGAGTCAACACCGCGCCAGAGGTTCAGACAGAACACAAGCATACATAAAAAACATAAAGTAACTTACGGGTGAGCGAACACCGCGCCAGAGGTTCAGACAGAACACAAACATACATAAAAAAACATAAAAAACATAAACATAAACATAACTAATTCATAAATCAATTCTCCGTTTAAACCAGAATCCTGATCTGTTGCATGAACTGTAATAATCCGAGAGTTTAAAGGTAAATTCTCAGCAAGATGAACTACATATGAGTAATTAGAAAATATTGGTAAATTATCATTTGTATCTAGAACTTGGATTTTCAGCTGTAGTGTAGTTTAGCTTTATGAAATGGTGTACTGTACTTTATGAAATGGTGTACTATAGTGTAGCTTTATGAAATGGTGAACTTTGATCTACTGCTTCTATATAAACAATATATTCTTTAACCAATTCATAATCTATTGTCCCAGTAGTAAATACATTGCAACTTTCACTTGAGACATTGATTGGCCCACTAGTATTTGTTATGCTATATTTAACTAACCCATTTAAACCCAAATCATTATCAAATGCTTGGCACTTGAAAAATATATAACCAATTGGAACACCTTCTAAAATAGAAACATTTTCAGTTTTGTTTACAAACCATGGTTGATTATCATTTTGATCTAAAACATTAATTTGAACTTTTGTAAGATTTATCAAGCTTATATTTAAAGAATCAATTGCTTTAACTAGTATGAAATGCTCTTTTTTTTTTCAAAATCTAAAACTGTATTTGCCCACAAAGAACCTGATATAGAATTAATACTGAAGCTATTATTGCCATCAGCTATTTCAAAAATAATAAAAGCAGCACTTTGAGATAGTGGTCTAACAGCTTGCAAGACTCCAATAACTTTACCAATTTGATTATTTTCTACCACATTAAAAATGTAATTATTTTCAGTAAACACTGGAGGCAAAATACTTGGAGGGAATATATTAAGTAAAACTCTTGCTGTACTTATTCCAGGAAAACCTCCTGCATCTTTCACACTAACTTGGAAATTAAATAAGCGTTTTGGATGTTTTTTCAAGCTATGATTTAAAATAACACCCCCAGTAGTTGAGCCAATAGAAAATGTATCATCTTCAAAGATAGCCGAGTAAGATGGTAATGCATTGCTACCTTCATCTAAATCATAAGCAGTAATATAAAATGCTACTTCATAAAGAGGAAAGTTTTCAGTGATTGATACATTGAAAACACCTCTTTCAAATTTAGGAGAGCAGTCATTTAAATCAATAATGTTAATAAAAAGTGTTCCTTTTCCGCATAGTCCTCCACTATCAAATGTACTAACTTCAAATTCATAGCAACTTTTCTCTTCACGATCAAACATTTTTAGTGATGTTATAATACCTGTATTATTATCAATCTGTATAACACTACTGTTCAAATAGTAAGTAATCTTCTGTGAGTCAACTGTATCTATATCATCAGCATGAACCTGGCCTATAAATGATCCAACTTCTTGATTTTCTGTTATGTTAAAAACCATTAATAATGGAGAAAAATACGGAGGGTTATCATTTACATCAATTAAATTTATTTGTACAAATGCATAGGATCTATGCTGAGGAATTCCGTGATCAAAGGCACAAATTTGAAACTTTATTATTGAAAAAAGTTCATAATCGACGTTCTGAACAAAAACTATTTTACCATTTTGTTGATCAAGCTTAACAAATTCAGCTCCTAAAAAACTGGAAGAATCAATTTTATATGACACTTTTCCATTTTCACCAAAGTCAAGATCTTGTGCAAAAACCCTAACAATAAGTTCTTCAATACCTATAGATTCTTTTACTGAAATATTGTATATTTGTTGAGAAAATTTAGGAGAATTATCATTAATATCACTGACATTAATTTGAATTTTCATTTGAGTAAATAGAAGAGCTGATAAGCTATCTTTGGCTATAAGCAAAAGAAATAGATACGGAGTTGTTTCTCTATCAATAACTTTTTTAGTAAGCAAGGAAAATTTATTTTCTACTTTATGTAGTTCAAAATAATTAGTATCATTAATGAATATATCAGAAACCGAATTTTTATTCATAGAGTCAGGATCACTTACTAAGATAGAAGCTATTTTCCATCCAATAATCTCACCTTCTACTATTTGATAAATTCCTAGTAGTGTAAAAATAACATCTATTAATGGAGGATTATCGTTGCAATCCAAAATAGAAAACTTTAATATAACAGATGACATCTTTGGAGGATTTCCTTGATCACTTGCTATACACATCACTTGATATAAAACCCGTGACTCTGCATCAACAGAATTTTTTAAAAATATATCGCCGCTTGTTTCATTTATATAAAAATCAGCAGTTTCATGTAAACTATATTTAATCTGAGAATTAGACCCAGAATCTAAGTCGGATGCATGAACATATCCAACTTTTTCAGATACAGTGGTATTTTCGTATATTTCAAAGTCATATTTTTTTTTGTCAAATTCTGGCAGATTATCATTTTCATCCAAAACATTTAAATTTACAAATAAAAAAGTGCAAAATGATGAGACACATGCTGAGATTTTTATTAAATAGTATTTCTGTTTTTCATAATCCAGTGGCAACAACAGCTTTAAAAATAACTCATTCTTGTCATTGGTCACAATTTGAAACCTATCAACAAAGTTTTCAGATTTATATCTAACTTTTAAATTTGTGTTATTTAAAAATTTAAGCATTGTCAGTGAATTGATTTTACTGTTTTCTTTCATATAAATACTATATGAGAATTCAGAAAATAATGGAACACTAAAAACCCAAATAAAAACTTCTATTAATTCTTTGTTACTTGCAGATGATACAGTAAAGTTAAAACAATATTCATTTACTTGATGCTCATAATATTTCATTGAGAAATTTTTTTTGGAGAATATTTCCCCTGATAACTCATTTACACTAAAATACTCAATCGCACCATTTTGTTTAAATGGAAAATGACCGTCTACTCGACCAACTTTACTTCCAGGTGGTTGATTTTCAGCAAAATAAAAAACATTGAGAAAAGACTTGAGAAAAGTGCTCAACTTTTGGAGCGAATATTATTTGATATTATTAAACGATATTTTGTGTTTGTAAATAAAATACAAAAACTCTTGTACGTATAAGAGTGCTCAATAATAAACAAATAGGATTTATTTATTTAATAGAGCATTATTTTATATATATATATATATATATATATATATATATATATATATATATATATATATATATATATATATATATATATATACTTTTATTTGCATTCACTCCCAACAAGGCTGCAAGCAACCACTATTAAGTTGCGAGTTACTAGAAAAAAAAAAGAACAGTGTTATAGAGCAAGGAAACGGTTGACAGAAGACTTGAAAAGTTGAAGGTTGTATGAGTCAGGAAAACATGAAGATGGGAGAGAGTTCCAAAGGATTGAAGTGCGGGGAAAAAAACTAGATGAATAAAAGTTTTTAGAGCATGCAGGGACAGATACAGTAAACGAATGAGACTTAGCTGAATGACGAGTAAAACGAGAATGAATTTTAGTTGATGGAACTAGAGATGATAACTCCTTTGAGCAGTGACCATAATAGTATTTGTAGAAAAGAGAAAGAGATGCAACTTTACGACGATGGGAAAGAGGTTCAAGCTTAGCAGATAGTCCAGGTCCAACAACATTTATAATGCGTTTTTGGACCTTGTCAAGAAGAGAAAGTGAATCGTTAGAAGAACCAGCTCAAATATGGCAACAGTATTCCATACAGGGACGAAAAAGAGATTTGTAGAGGTAGAGAATGGAATCAGAAGTAAGGAAATGGCGAGCACGATAAAGAGAAGCAACATTAGCAAAAGCTAATTTAGCAATCGATTGTATATATGGTTTCCATGAAAGGTCAGTAGTAAGCGATAATCCAAGAAGACGTAAAGAGGAGGACTCAGTAAGAGGATTCCCATTCATTAATATAGGAATGTTGACCATATTACGTAGTTGTTTGCAGTAAGCAACTGGGTTTTTTTAGAGTTGAAATTCACAAGCCACTATATATATATATATATATATATATATATATATATATATATATATATATATATATATATATATATATATATATATATATATATATATATATATTAGGGTTATGACTGGGGACCGGAATTCCGGCCGGAATTTGTGATATTCAGTTCATTCCGGTTCCGGCCAGAATTACACTAGTTAAAACCGTAATGCCGGAATTTTTTTTTAACTTTATTAAAAAAATGACCAACAATAAAACAATAAACTAACTTTATTAGTAAAAAATAACCAACAATAGTTACATCTAGGTAAAAAATAACCAACAATAGCCAGATCTAGGTAACCAATAACCAAGAATAACTAAACCTAGGTAAAGAATGACCAACAATAGCTAAACCAAGGTAAAAAAATAACCAACAGCAGTTAAACCTAGGTAAAAAATAACCAACAATAGCTTAAGCTAGATAAAAAATGCAAATTTATTAATGAACACAATGAAATTTAATTTCTAGAAATATAATATTACTAAATTTCCAGAAATCCATACTTGATTAATTAGTGGGCAAAAATCAATTAATTAAGGATTTCTGGAAATTTAGGAATATTGTGGTGCAAATATAAGAGTTGCTCTCCAGTTTTTGGCAACAAACTAGCTCTTTTTTCCTCAAAAATGTTACCTGCTTCTGAGAACAGCCTCTCTGAATAAACAGATGAAGCTGAGGCTGACAGAAGTTTTCTTGCTATACAGCATATACGAGGATAGTAATCCTTATTAGCGCTCCACCATTAATACTGCTTCCTCATTTTCTAATTTACCTATTTCTTTCCCAGCCATAAAACAATCTATTTCTTTTTTTATCTCTTCATCTGTTATTCCAATAATTTTTCTTACTTTTTGTTTCTTCTTCTGGCTCATAACAATTAAGAAAGTTTTTTTCGATTGTCATTCTTAAATTTGATACATATAAAGCTGGTGTAGATGTCTAACAACCTTTATTGGTTGGCGAGGAGTTAGAACTATCGGAGGAAGATGAATCTGATTCTGACATATTATTCATATTATTCTCTTTTTGTTCATTTATTTGATCCTTTATCTCAGATAAAAGCCAACTTTTAGCCAAATGTTTTTGCTCATCAGAGAAAAGTGACAGTTTATACCTTGGATCAATAGCTGTAAACATGTACTTCACTCATTAGTACATTAAAGTGACCTTTTAATAAAACATTACTCATGAATATTTTTTCAATAGTCTCTTTTAGCATCTTCTTTATTGATTGGACTCTAGAATCATCTGCAAGGCTTCCAAGAAAATTGTGTAATGCTCGAATATGGCTAATTACTGATGACAGCATTGATTTTGATTTACTGACTGTATCAGTAATCATAAAAAATGGTTGTAAAAATCTCAATACATTTTCTATTAACTCAGATTTACTTGAAATTAATATTAAATTTACTAAATGAGGATGGTCTGCTGTGTAAAGTTGTATAGATCTTTTGAGAGTTTCAATTCGATCTAACATTATATATGTACTATTCCATCTTGTCGAAACACCTTGGATTGGTAATAAAGGTGTTAAGATTTGTGAACCTAATTCTTTCTGAATTTTTTTAATTTGGTCCAAGCTAAACTCAAATGGTTAAAATGAGTGCAGATGCTTCTGCATTTCTTTATCATGTCGTGTACTGCAACCTGGTCAAAAAGGGCGTCTTTGATTACTAGCTGCAGTTGATGAATAAAACATGAGATGCCTGAGAACTCTGTCAATTCAATTCCAAGTTTCATGTTTTAAGCACTGTCTCGAAGGACAATATGTATTTTCTTTTTGGAAATATTCCAATCAACTAGCATTGCATCAAATAAATTAGTAATATTTATTCCAGTGTGGGACCCTGGAAAATGCTTACAGTGTAGAACACAATATTTTTAAATAAAATTATCTGTAATCCAATACGCAGTCAAATGCATCATTACCATAGATATTTGTCCAAATATCTGTTGTAAACGAAATATGATTAGCTGCAGAAATGTTATTAAATACTAATGTTTTTAATTTTTTATATGATGCTGGTAGCATTGTTTCCTTAAAAAACTTTCTACTTGGAATTAGGTATTGTGGTTGCAAGTGAGCAATCAATTCAATGGACCCCTGATCTTCAACTACAGAAAAAGGTTGATTGTCCATCGCAATAAAATTTATTATTCTTTGATTAACTTTGGAGGGGCGAGAGTCCTTTATATTCCAATCTTTTTTAGGAACAAAATTATCTATGCTAGTTTGTGTCTGTGACTTAATTGCTTCAAATTTTCTATCTCGTGGTGCCCAACTTTTGATTTTTTTTCCCTTTTCTATTCTTCTTGTTTGTTTCTTCTGTTCTTCTTGTTTGTTTCTTCTGTTCTTCTTGTTTGTTTCTTCTGTTCTTCTTGTTTAGCCTCATCATATGTATCTATATGATATATTTTTAAATCCATATGAAGTGGTGTTGTGCTAAATATTTTTGGAGTACTACCACGTTTAACATTTTTGTGGCATAGTTTACATTCTGCTGATATATCTGTGGCATCATTTGTTTTAAAATATCTCCAAACAAATGAAGGAAAAAATATTTTTAGATGTTCAAACATAAGTTTAAATAATTAAAAATTATAGGATGCAGTACAAATACAGTAAATATTTATATTTTAATCTAAATGGACAAATAAAAAATTAAGAATTAATTTTAAATATAAATAAAAAAATTATGCAGTTAAAAATTTACAATAAATAATAAAAATAAAATTACTTAAACTAGAACAAAATTAATGAAATAGGTTAAATATATATTATATAGCTAAGTTGATGAGGTGCAATCCAATTTAATATTAAAAGTAAAAAATAACATAAATATAATTCTGGTTCCGGCCGGAATTTTATTTATAATTCTGGCAAACCCATTTTGGTACAGCCCTAGTTATGACTTTAAATCAACCCCATGCTCCTGTTCTTTAGTTTGATGAATTTTTACCTAAAAAGCACAAATTGAATTTTATATCTTTCCAAAAAAGTTCACCCCGCCATTGAAAAATTGATTTTGACATAAGTACTACTATGTATATAAATGTATTTAGAATGTCATAATTTTCAATCCAACAATGACTCAGACCATTACCTTGCTCTTGCTTATTGCACAGAAGGAATCGAAGTATGCAATTTGTCTTTATTTTTGCATGATGAATAAATTTCTTTGATTACTTTAATTGCGCGTTCTGGCATTGATCACTTCTGGGTCTCTGTAGTATGGATGGCTCTCGCTTCCAGTAATTTTTCAAAAAGCTTAAAGCCTTTTTGTATGGATTCATTATTTTAGCCAATTTATTGAATTTGTTATTGTTGTACAGTTGGTCTGTAAACCAATGGTCTGCCCAGCCATACGATATAAATCGACATACTCTCTGCAGAACTCTCCTTGTTGAAGGAATTAAAATGAAGGCCAGGATCGCTCGTATAGTTCTGGAGTTCTACTTCGCATTGCTGATGTCGGGCATTTTCTGAAACTTGATTAATGGAAAGTCTTCTTTTCCTCAAAAAATCGGAACACTCAAGTGAAATGAAACGAAAATTTCATATCATCTCTTGAACCTGATGTTTCGAAAACTACTTCTGTTCTGTTATGAAACTGTTTTCAGTTGTTTGTACTCCTTTAACAGTTGAGATACAAATGGATATTCGATGTTTGGCAATTGTGTTTTACTTCCAAGTTCTTCATCCATCACCAAACGGAGGATTCTATACATGGTGTTGACAACTGATAAACTGAGGTTTGTTGATGCATTTCTCTGAGAACATTCGTTGCAATATTACAACAACACCATTCTTTTTCCAGTGTTAACGCTAATGGTATCTGCAACAATCATCTGTAAGGAATTCCATAGGTGAAATTCATCAAGGACTTTATAAATTCCTTGAGCAATAGTTAAAGCTCTGCCATCTACCAAGCCAAGGACATGTCAGAATTACTAAAACCAGAAAAGTAAGATGATGAGTTGGATGACTCATTAGAAAGTTTTTGTCTTTTAGAGGAATGGACCGTTTCTAAACTGGCCGCTTTGCCTGTAGAGTATCTCATTGTTACTTTGCTTTCCACTTGGAGATGGTACAATTGCTTGTCCTCGGAAGATAACCATGTTCCATCCACTTAAGTAATATCAAAAACTTCATCAAGGGGTTCGTAGCTTTCCCGCTCGACAATTTATCATAACATTTCAGTACTCTATCAAGCTTAGCTTATATAACTCGATCAGATACATGAGGAAAACTCAGTTTATTCTTACACAATTTGTTGACTTCTTTGGAAATTTCCGCTATTCGCTCCTTTCTTCCTTTAATTTTTGGTCCAAGGAAATGGTAACGTCCGATAATTTGCTTTTGGAGAGAAATTCTGCACTTTTCCTCCAGTGAATATTCTTCCAAAGAGACCATTATTCTTTTTTTATGAGAGTCTTCAAATTTTACGAGATTATTTGTCCAAACATCCTTGTTTTTGTGACTGCTACTATCACTAGGCTTGTACGACGCCATGTGTTGCTTCTATAATAACTATAAATTTAGATGAGCTGCTATATCTAGAAAGCCACACGTATTAGTAGTAGCAGTAGACAATAAACAAACAATTCTATTTGTGTTAATAAGACGGAAAAAACACAAAAAAAACTTGACATTAAATTTGTGTTAATAAGCAAAACTAATAATAATAACATTAAAATTTCACTGACAGGAGGTAATCCACTGTTATTTAGGGTGGTAGCCCTCCTATCCAGTAATCCAAATGGTTAACTTACTACTAGGTGATTTCAATACTTACAAATGTGAGCAAGAAGCAATAATCGTAGATTTAAAAAAGTTATTAGAAACTTTAAGAACAGATAATGCAAACTTGACTAAGAGAATTCTGGATTTAGAAAATTCTAAATCAAAATCTAGTTCAGGAGTGACAGGTGATTGGGCTAGTAAAGTAAAAAAAACTCCAGATCAAATGCAAATTATTAATACTATCGCAAATGAAACCAAAGAAAGAGATAAAAGAGAAAATAACTTAGTTATTTTCGGTTTAGAGGAATCAACATTAAGTGATAAAGTCAAAGCTATTGAAGAAGATAAACAAAATATTGAAACAATCATGAAAAAGTTGAAGGTCAATGCCAAAATAAAAAATGTTATCAAACTAAAGTCAAAAAATGGATATAATGCTCCATATATTGTTGTTTTAAATGATAAATTGGAACGTAATTCTGTTTTAAAAAATGCCAAGGAATTGAAGAAAGATAAAACATACGAAAGTGTATTTATAAATCCTGATTTGACTGAATCTGAACGGTACAAATCAAAGCTATTAAGAGAAGAGTGTAAAAAACTAAATAATGACAATATTAACACGGCAAACTTTTACTTTAGTATTAGAAATGACAAAGTTGTAAAAATAAAAAAATAGCAACAAAATGCCAAAAAAGACTTAAACCACATTCGATGCTTTTACTATGAAACTAACAATAAAATAAATCTGTTTAGTGGTGGAGGTCAAAATCTTAACTAGTTGCTGAGCATTAAGAGACAGCTAGATATTGAAATAGTAAACTTTCATGAGCGTAAGAAATGTGATTTAAGTATAAACAAGGAGCACGATACTCAAAAATGCAATGAACTGATGATTTGGTATACAAATGCAACGTCTCTGAATAATAAGATTGATGAGTTAAGGTTACAATGTGAAATATATAAACCGGATGTTATTTGTGTTACAGAAACTTGGTTTAAAGCAGAATCAGATGTAAATATAATTAGTTATAATATTTTTAGAAGTGATAGAAAGACTCATGGAGGAGGTGTTTGTATTTATGTAAAACAATGTATTAATCAGTTTGAAACAAATAATTTACA